AGTCATTTAAAAGTTATGAAGGATTATTTTACTTCTTGGGATCCATTGTTAACTTCAGCCAAGATCCAGAAGTTCATTTTAAATACATTTCAGTAAGTTATAATATAAAAATATATGAGTTTATAATGTGTTTATTTTAGTTTGCTAATTTTTTGTTCAGTTAGTTATTTTATTATCTTTTGTATGTACTCAAAATCTGAAATGCCTATTAAAAAATATTTTGAATTTAAATTTCATTACTAACGCTAAATTAGTGTATGAATACCTAATAGATATTATATTATATTATATTATATATATAATGAGTTAACATTTTGTTAAATAGTTAATGTATATTTATAGGCAGCTTGCAAAACTGGACAAATTAAAGAAGTGGAGCGGATATGTCGTGAATCTACTTGTTATAATGCAGAAAGAGTTAAGAATTTCTTGAAAGAAGCAAAGCTTACTGATCAATTACCATTAATCATTGTGTGTGATCGATTTAATTTCGTACACGATCTTGTGTTATATTTATATAGAAATAATTTGCAAAAATATATTGAGATTTATGTACAAAAAGTGAACCCATCACGTCTACCAGTTGTAGTCGGTGGACTCCTTGATGTAGATTGTTCAGAAGATATAATCAAAAATCTTATACAAGTTGTGAAAGGAGAATTCTCCACAGATGAATTGGTAGAAGAAGTAGAAAAGCGTAACCGTCTTAAACTATTGTCATCTTGGTTAGAATTACGTGTTCATGATGGTAGTGAAGAGCCTGCAACTCATAATGCACTTGCTAAGATTTATATTGACAGCAACAACAATCCAGAAAGATATTTGAAGTATGCAGTTTACTATTTTATAAATAACAATACCAATTACTATCTTTTTTTCTTTTTTTTAGAGAGAACAAGTTTTATGATAGCCGCGTGGTTGGCAAGTATTGTGAAAAGCGTGATCCACATTTGGCATGCGTTGCTTATGAACGGGGAAAATGTGATTTGGAATTGATAAATGTTTGTAATGAGAATAGTCTTTTCAAATCTGAAGCTAGATATTTGGTTAGACGTCGTAACCCAGAGTTGTGGCTGGAAGTATTGAATGAAAACAATGTCTATCGTCGTCCACTCATTGATCAAGTTGTGCAAACAGCTTTATCTGAAACTCAAGATCCTGAAGACATATCAGTAACTGTAAAAGCTTTTATGACCGCTGATTTGCCAAATGAACTGATTGAACTATTAGAAAAAATTGTATTTGATAACTCATTATTCAGCTCTCATAGGTAATTATGAAATACCAATACATTTTTTTTCGAATTGCAAATACAACAATAATTTTTTCTTCTTCTCATATGAATTTAGAAACTTGCAAAATCTATTGATTTTAACAGCGGTTAAAGCCGACCGAACTCGTGTTATGGACTATATTAATCGTTTAGACAACTATGATGCTCCTGATATTGCATCCATCGCTATTAACAATGAACTATTTGAAGAAGCTTTTGCAATATTTAAGAAGTTTAACGTTAATCAATCTGCTATTCAAGTAAGATCTTGTTAATATAACTTTGGTTTGGAAAAATGTAATAATTTGTGTTTATTTATTTAGGTACTTATTGACAATGTTAAAAATCTTGATCGCGCCTATGAATTCGCTGAACGTTGTAATGAACCAGGTGTTTGGAGTTTATTGGCAAAATCTCAACTGCAAAGTATGTTTGTCAAAGAAGCTATTGACTCGTTCATTAAAGCTGATGATCCAAGTGCATACATGGATGTTGTTCAAACTGCACACAAAACAGGTATTAGTTGAATTTTATTTTATTTAGGTATAAATAATTTACAAGTTGTATGAATGATTCATTCATATTATATTTTTGTCTTGATTATAGGAAGTTGGGAAGATCTTGTACGTTATTTGCAAATGTCGCGTAAGAAGGCTCGTGAATCTTATATTGAAAGCGAATTAATCTACGCTTATGCCAAAACAAATCGTCTTGCAGATCTTGAGGAATTTATTTCTGGACCAAATCACGCTGATATTCAAAAGGTAATTTTTTTAATGTCTCATTGTATAGAATATTATATTAAATTATGTAATAATTTCTTTTACAGATCGGTGATAGGTGTTTTGAAGACAAAATGTATGAACCAGCTAAGCTGTTGTATAACAACGTCTCAAACTTTGCACGATTAGCTATTACTCTTGTACATCTTAAAGAATATCAGGGTGCTGTCGACAGTGCCCGTAAAGCAAATAGCACAAGAACATGGAAAGAAGTGTGTTTTGCATGTGTTGATAATAACGAGTTCAGGTTAGCTCAAATGTGTGGTCTTCATATAGTTGTTCACGCTGATGAATTAGAAGACTTGATTAACTACTACCAAGTAATATAAACAATTACTTTTATTAAATTGTTCTGATATTATAATAACATGCTTTATTTTTTTTTATCCATTTAGGATCGTGGTTATTTTGAAGAACTTATTAATCTTCTGGAAGCAGCATTGGGATTGGAACGTGCACATATGGGAATGTTTACAGAATTGGCTATTTTATACTCCAAATATAAGCCCGCTAAGATGAAGGAGCATTTAGAACTTTTCTGGTCTCGTGTTAATATCCCTAAGGTGTTAAGAGCGGCTGAACAAGCACATTTGTGGTCAGAGTTAGTGTTTTTATATGATAAATATGAAGAGTATGATAATGCGGTATTAGCCATGATGAATCATCCAACTGAAGCATGGCGAGAGAGTCATTTTAAAGATATTATTACAAAGGTATGAAAAGAAATTGTGTTTAGGTATTCATGTTTGTTTCTTCTTAACTAATAACTATTGATTTATTTTTCAGGTTGCTAATTTAGAGTTATATTACAAAGCAATACAATTTTATCTTGATTATAAACCGCTTCTGCTCAATGACTTATTGTTGGTGTTGACACCAAGAATGGACCACACTAGAGGTGTTGCCTATTTCACTAAGGTACTGTAGTCTCAACGTATTATTGATTGTAGCTTAATACAACTTTTTTTTTAATTTAGACAAATCATTTGCAATTAGTCAAAACCTACCTGCGTTCCGTGCAATCTTTGAATAATAAAGCTATTAATGAAGCTCTAAATAATTTACTGATCGATGAGGAAGACTACCAAGTAATTATTTTAGCCATCATTTGTATTTGCCATGATTGATTATTTTTGTTTTTGTAGGGTCTACGAACGTCCATTGATGCATTTGATAATTTCGATACCATCGCACTTGCCCAAAAACTTGAAAAACACGAACTTACAGAGTTTAGGCGCATAGCTGCTTACTTGTACAAAGGAAATAATAGGTGGAAGCAGAGTGTTGAATTGTGCAAGAAAGACAGATTATATAAAGTATTATTTTTTGATGTTAGTATTAAGCATTTACTTTATTGTAATTATGTAATTAATGTATTAGGATGCAATGGAATATGCGGCAGAATCAAAAAATTCAGAAGTAGCTGAAGAATTGGTTACGTGGTTCTTAGAGCGAGGAAACTATGATTGTTTTGCTGCTGCTTTGTTTCAATGTTATGATCTTGTGCACCCAGACATTGTATTGGAACTAGCGTGGAGGCATAAAATCATGGACTTTGCTATGCCTTACCTTATTCAAGTCACTAGAGAATATGTTGCCAAGGTAGATAAATTAGAAGAAGCCGAATCCAAGCGATTGGAAGAACACAAAGAAGAAGATATCAAACCAATGATGATACGTAAGTGTTATTGAAATACACATTTATTAATGTACAGTTTTGATATTTTATTAATTGTGTTTACTGTTTATATAGCTGAACCACAACTAATGTTGACAGCTGGTCCATCGGTTATGGGTAACATGTACTCGCCGTCCTATCAAGGAACTGTTGCCCCTTCACAACAACCTTATGTACCCCCAAGCGGAGCCCCTTATGCAACTTCAAATACTTTACCCTATCAGGGCTATGGCATGTAATGTACCTATTATATACCCCTTTCCTTTATAGCAGTATTTTATAAGAAAACAATGATGGGCTTTGCTATATTCTAATAGAAAATTTACTACCCAGGTATAAAATATTTATATTTTATAAATAATCAATTAAAAACCATTCCAAAAAAAAAAAAAAAATTAACTAAATAGGCTTTTGAAAATATATTCTCATCATTGTTAGATAATATTGAATAGTTAATGTTAATACTTGTTAAAAATATTACTTGTTTAAATTATTCAACCTCACTTCGTAACTTATGATTTATTTGCGTATACATTTTTAATATTGATTTCACGTTAATTTTTATAATTTATTTTATTTATAATCGTATTATGTATTATTATTATTATTATTATTATTATTATTATTATTATTACTATAAAACATTATTATTATTATTATACATTTTTTTGTAAATTATTATCTACAATTTATATAGAAATATAAAAACAAATTATAATGATAAATGTCTTTGAGTCGTTTTGTAATTTGTATGTATAACAACACTTAATATTGCTAAAATATTGAAAAACTTAATGTAGACTGTAGGATTCTAATATGTAAATAATCTGTAAAGCTATGGAATATAAAATTCAAATAGCCTTTATCTGTATCATTGATTTATATGTGAATTAAATGGTAAGTGAAAAAATTTTATGGTTCTGTTGAATTTGACAAGTATAACTAATTCTGTTAATCCCAAGTTACTTATGGTAATACCACTTAATCTTTTACTTTGCTTTAAAGTTAAAAATAAATACTTAATTCATAAAAAATATAATAGATTATAAGTAATAACATTTATTTACGCAGCAGCTTCTGTACAAACTACAGAGAATACTGAATAACTGGAGATAACAAACAATACAGTAAAACTATAGACTTATATAGGTCTATGAGTGGAACTATACATCTTAATTTATTATATATTATGAGTAAAACCAAATGTAATCACCAGCAACTATAGCCAGATATGTAACCAGAACATTGGACAATACAAAGCTTACAATTAGTATAATTGAGTTGTCTTGAAGTATACTTCCTTTTCAGCTTCATGTTTATTCAACTTAGGATCTAAAAAACGCATTTCATCTCCAGACAATTGAGGTAGAACCAAATCAAGTTTTTTTCGTAATTTGCTAAACGCATCTTTTTCCTTGGCTATTTTAGTTTCTTCCTACAAATTTAGTAAGGTGTCATAAATTATGCAACTTAAATTATGTAGTTTTAAGCACAATACTCACCAAAACAATATTTTCTTCACGTTTTATAACGTCCAACAGTCGATTTTGAATATCTTTACCTTTTTTATCAAACTTATTTTGAATATCTTTAGCATTCTCCAAAGCATTTAAACCTTCTTCTTGTTTTGAAAGTGCCATCTATTTTAAAAAATAATTAAGGAATATTAATGATAGTGTATATCATGTTACAAACCTGATATATTAATATTTAATATTTAATAAAACATATATTAATTACTAATTAGTCTTTAATTTTTGACTTGGGGAAATATTAATAAAATACAATAAATTACAACATGTATTTTAACAAACCTACAAAATACCATTTGTAATTAGGAGTTCAGGGCTGTGTTCTGTGGGTGTAAATTCCAAGAACATATTAATATATATTATTGTTGGAATTATAAACAAAACACCCTATATAATGTAGTGTATAAGTAATATATTCACACTGTAGTTCAGCAGACGCTGACTGTACATTTTTATAATACTACAGCATAAATGTCTTGTGTAGTGTAGCCGGGTATACATATTACATAGTTAGTCGTTGATTTATATTACGCCTCGTAACACTATTGTACATCGTATCATTATACTTATTATTATATTATATATATATCCGATTTTATTATTATTTACCTTTAACTTCTGTATATCTGTGTACTTCAACAGGTTATGGGCCCAGTAGTAAGGTCTTTATAATAAAGTTGTGAATAGTTATTAAAATAATAATTGATTAACGAATTGCGTGTTTTTTGTGTACAGACAGTGTACATCAATAATAATTCGCGAAGTAAGTGCAGTGTAGTGTGGGTGCGTTTCTTAGTGTGCAGATAGTGTACATTTACGTTTTTTAAATATGGAGAACGAACAATATAAAATCAACAAACTCAAAGATGCATCAAATTGGGACATGTGGAAATTTCAAATGAAGGTTATCATGAATGCAGCTGAAATATTTGATGTAGTAACAGGAAAATCAAAGAAACCAATTTTAGCAAAGATCGGTAATGAAACTGAAGATGAAGCGAGAAAAAGGCATAGCGTTGATTTTTCAATATGGAAAAGGGCAGATAATAAGGCTCAAAAATATATTGTCACGTCGTTAGATGAACAACCTCTACAATACATTATGAACTGTGACACAGCAAATGGTATGTGGAACAAATTACTTAGTGTGTACGAACAGATGTCGGACACAAGCATAACAATAGTACAACAAAAGTTCTATCGTTATACAATGGATCCAAAAGACAATATAGCAGGTCATATTTCAAAATTAGAAAATCTAAGTAGACAACTAAAACAATTGGGAGAACCTATCTCAGAATCAATGTTGATTACAAAAATTTTGATGACATTACCTGATAGCTATAGGCACTTCTACAGTGCATGGGACTCAATGAATAGTGCAAATAGAACGCTAGAACAGTTAACCACTCGATTGATGGTGGAAGAAACACGACAAGTGCAAGGACAGGAGGTCCGTGATGATGTTGCTGAAAGTAGTGCTTTGACTGCAACCAAAGGCAAGTATAATAAAAGTCAAAAATACTTGAACAAAAATGATAATACAAAACCAGGAAAATGCAATCACTGTAAAAAACCAGGACATTGGAAAAGGGACTGCAGGATATTCAAAAGGGAACAAGAAGAAAAGAAATCAACTTCCGGTTTGGCGCTTATTGGTGTACAAAGAAAAAATGAAGAAATCGACGACTCGGACAAATGGTATGTAGACTCAGGTGCGAGCGACCACATGACAAATCGAAAAGAGTGGTTCGTCGATTATAAACATTTTGATGTGCATTCGCTTGTACGTATTGGAGATGGTAAGCACATTATGGCAGTCGGAAAAGGTAACATAAATATTCATACTTATGTTGACAATAAGTGGATAAAAGGCTACTTAGAAAATGTTTTATATGTACCTGATCTAAAGGTAAATTTATTTTCTTGTGGGGCATGCCTTGATAAAGGAATTACAATGGTGACAGACAGTAAAGGTTGCTCATTTAAAATTAATAATCGTGTAATTGCAGTCGGTGTTCGTGAGAATAAATTGTTTACAATGCTAATCAAAACAGATATTTCACAGGAAATTGGACACTGTGCTAACGTTGCAGTTAAGAAATTAACATTAGAACACTGGCACAAAATACTATGTCATCAGAATGTCAAACATGTTCGTGAGTATTTAAAACACAATGAAATACAATTTACAGATATACAAGGACAGTTATTCTGTGAACCATGCATCTATGGCAAACAGCATAAGGAGACGTTCACTCAGAGCGAAACAATAACTACTGAACCAGGGCAAATAATACACAGCGACGTATGTGGACCCATGGAAGAGAATTCACTAGGAGGTAAAAGATATTTCATTATATTTAAAGATGATTATTCTAAATATACTTATGTCTATTTTATGAAACATAAATCTGAGGTTAAAGAAAAACTTAATTGTTTTCTGAGTATGGTTAAAACTCAAACAAAATACGTTATTAAAACTATTAGAAGTGACTGTGGATTAGAGTATAAGAATTTCGAAGTTCAATCAATTCTAAATCATCTAGGTATAAAGCATGAAACAAGTGTACCTTATACTCCTGAACAAAATGGAAAAGCTGAACGTTCAATGAGGACTATTTGTGAGGCAGCCAGAACAATGATATATGCCAAGAATTTTCCAAAATCACTGTGGGCAGAAGCAGTCAATACAGTAGTGTTCTCATTAAATTATACTGGTAATTCAGGGAAAGTATGTAAAACTCCATACGAGTTATGGTTTGATAAACTTCCTAAAATAGAAAAGTTCGTAGAATTTGGAATAAATGCATATAGTTTAGTTCCAAAACAACGACGAAAGAAGTGGGATGCAAAAAGTCGAAAAGGATACTTTGTTGGATATTCAGAAACTTCAAAAGGGTATCGTATTTGGTATAAAGAAAATAACGAGGTGTCACTTAGTAGAGACGTCATTTTCAAGGATGAAAATGTTGTAAATTACCAACTTGTAGAATGTTCTAATAACTTAAATGATAATAATAACATTGATGTTCTTAGCTTACACAAAGACGGCTCATTAGAACACAGCAATAAACCAGAAGGAGATGAAGTCATAGAAAATGAATATGGACCAATAAGTGTAGATGACAATGAAAATCAAGAACTTGAACAAGGAAATGGGTCAAATGTCAACGTGTACAACTTGCGAGACAGAAGTAATATTAAGAAACCATTACGTTATGATAATTCAGCATTTTTCGTAGTCGAATCCGATCCAGTGAATTTCAAGGAAGCTGTGGAGTCACAAAATTCAGAAAAATGGGTGGAAGCCATGAACAATGAAATGGAATCTCTTGAACAAAACGGAACATGGTCTCTCGTAAAGTTACCTAAGGACAGAACTATTGTAAATTGTGGTTGGGTGTATAAAACAAAATACAATGTTCATGGACATGTTGATCGATACAAGGCTAGGCTAGTAGCAAAAGGGTATAGTCAAATATTCGGTATTGATTTTAATGAAACTTTTAGTCCTGTAGTAAAGTTCGATTCAATTCGGTCTATATTAGCTATATCAGCAGCAGAACAATTACAACTTCGACAATTTGATGTTCAAACAGCGTTTTTATATGGAGATTTGGACGAAGAAATTTACATGAGACAACCAGAAGGGTTCAACGATGGTACTGAAATGGTGTGCAGACTTCAACGCAGTTTATATGGTCTAAAGCAGTCACCACGATGTTGGAACATAAAGTTCAAAACATTTCTTCTTAACTTTAATCTATTAGAAACAAAAGCAGATCCCTGTGTTTTTGTTAATAGAGAGAATAACAAAGTATTAATCGTCGCTATATTTGTTGATGATGGTCTAGTTGCAGCTACATCGAGTGAAGATGTAAATGCATTAATGGAATATTTGAGACAACATTTCAATATTACCGAAGGAGAATTGAATCAATTTTTGGGTACAGAAATTGTGCAAAAATCTGATGGATCAATTGTAATGCACCAAGGGTTGTATTGTAAAAGAATATTGGAGAAGTTCAATATGACTGAAGCAAATTCAGTTCAAATACCAGCAGATCCTCAACATTCATTAGATGACAAGCAACAAAACACCAATCTAACTAGTAAAGTCCCATATCGTGAAGCAGTCGGAAGCTTATTATATCTCAGTCAGATTACAAGACCGGACATAACTTTTTCAGTAAATCTAGTTAGTAGATACATCGAGGATCCAAAGGAACAACACTGGACAGCAGTGAAACGAATTTTAAAATATTTAAAGGGAACTATTAATTTTGGATTGATATTTAGTTCTAGACAAAAACTCATGTTAAAGGGATACAGTGATGCTGACTATGCAGGTGACTTGGATACAAGAAGGTCAACATCAGGGTCAGTATTTACATTAGGATCTGGAAGTATAGCATGGAGTTCACGTCGTCAACAGTGTGTTAGCCTTAGCACAACTGAATCAGAGTACATAGCTTTAAGTCAAGCAGTACAAGAATTAACTTGGTTAAAATTGTTTTTAGGTGAATTGCTGGACCAGCCAAAAATGGTGCCAACAATGTATGGAGACAATCAAAGTGCGATTAAACTCGTAAAAAATCCAGAGTTTCATAGAAGAACGAAGCACATAGATGTTCGCTACCACTATATAAGAGGAAAGTTCAATGAGGGATTGTTTTCATTGGAGTACATATCCAGCAAGGAGCAGATTGCGGACATTATGACAAAGCCAACTCCACGAACGCGGTTCAATGAGCTAAGGGAGATGTTAGGAGTTATAAGTATTGATGTATAAGGGTATATTGTTTAAGGGAAAGTGTTGGAATTATAAACAAAACACCCTATATAATGTAGTGTATAAGTAATATATTCACACTGTAGTTCAGCAGACGCTGACTGTACATTTTTATAATACTACAGCATAAATGTCTTGTGTAGTGTAGCCGGGTATACATATTACATAGTTAGTCGTTGATTTATATTACGCCTCGTAACACTATTGTACATCGTATCATTATACTTATTATTATATTATATATATATCCGATTTTATTATTATTTACCTTTAACTTCTGTATATCTGTGTACTTCAACAATTATATGTCAGATATTCACCTTAAACATTTTTTCTGCACGAATTGATTTCATTTTAATTTGGTCGTCTAGTTCTTGCAATCTATTTTTTTCATCAGCTAAACGTTTTTCCAGTTCTTTTGTATGTTCCAATCGTTTGTCTAATTCTTTTTCTTTTCTTTTTAGTTCTTTAAAATTCTCTTTCACTTCCACTTTAGCTTGTATCAAATCGGTTCCTGTACCAGCATCTAATTTCAGCATGGTTTCAAGTCTGTATCGTTCAGAAGCCACTTCAAATCTTTCTTCAGCTAACTTGCGCTGTTCTTCAATGACTGAAGAACGAACATCCTGGACAAATTGAAAAATTCAAACTACAGTCTTATACTTTTATCTTGTGGCAGTACACACCTACCCACATCATGTGTCTTATGACTTACCTCCAACTCTTGTTTGCGACTTTCAATATATTGTGTTTCTGATTTTTTTTCACGTTCCCATATTTTACGACTATCCTCAAATGCCTTCATAGATCGTTTTAGCTCTTTATTAAAGAGTTCCAGTTCATTTCGTTCCCGTTGATTTCTCGATTGAAATTCTTCGGTTTTCATTTGAAGAGCTGATCTTTCTCCTTCCAATATGGCCATCTGCTTATCTACTTCTTCCTGTAAATCTATACCCATCACACATATACATGGGCATATTAATCAAAATGAGTTAATTATTTTGAATCTAGGTGTTGACATAAGAACTACCTATGTTGTAAGTTAATAGTTCCTTTCTAGCAATACTTTACCACACTCAAATTTTAAAGTAAGAATAATATGGAAAATACTAATTTAACTAACTTGGTTAAAATAAATAATTTAAAATGCATAAATAAGTAATTTTGTTTAATCTTAATCATTATACACTAATAGGTATTATATTTCTATTTCAATTATATCATTAATTATATTTTATGTAATGTTTTTTTTTTAAATTTCCAGACTTCTGTTAACACTTATTGTTTTATCAAGAAACGTTGAGTCATTCATTTTTTAATCATTTTTATTTTAACATACTTACATTACAAATTATAAATAAGTTATTAATTTTAACCTAAAGTATTTTTTTTCAATTTAACTGTGAATACTGAAAAGCTAAATTATAACAAAATCTTAAATCCTTGCAATGTTAAATTAAACTAATTATGTAGGTAAATCAAATCAATAATCAACCAAGTATCAGGTAACTAGATATGTTTATGAATTAAAAAAAATTAATTTTTTGGCTTATTAATGCATCTTAACCATTCTTGATACCAATCATATGAGATGGTGAATTTATAAATTCAATAGGTAACTAATAACTAGTAGGTAGGTAACAAATTAATTTAAAAAATAGTCTTAACTTATTTTAATTTTATTATAAAGTTTTCCCAATAAAAATATAGATCTTATACTATAATAATAAATTGTACTTTAACTTCAGATTTTATTATTGCACCCTACGACCTACCTACCTTTAAGTTGTTTGTTTTGAGCAGTAATTGAAATTTCTCTAGCGGTCATCTCTTCGCTGGTCAAACGCTTTGGCTTTGAATCACGTAAGCAGGATTCAACTTCTTCCAAATGGTTCATTTTAATCCTTTGAACTTCAGTAGTTTGTTTGAGATCTATTAAATGACTCTCGTGCATCACACGTAACCTCTCCTCATACATGTCTTTTAAGCGCTTTTCATTTTCTTTCCGTTCCGTCACATCGGCTTTTCGTTCTTCTTCCATCTCATTTACTCGCTCCTCATAACGATCTAGCTTTTCATGCAACACGGACATTTTCAGTTTCCAATTTTTTTATTTTTTTTCTATGAATGTCAATTAAATTTTATTTTTTGGGTAAAAAAGCTTGAAAATGTAATACAAGGCTCTTAATATTACTTAGTATTAATGTTACAATGATATTTGAAAAATATTAAAAATCCAGTCAACATTTTTTTTTATAAGCGATTCGACAAATGCCGTAAAAATCACGAAAACGAGAAAATTATTTTAAGTTAGTAATTCCTATAAAATGTAGCATTGCCTTTTGAGTTTGAGGCAAATAAAACCATAATAAACATATAAAATATAATATTTGAAATTAGCAATTCCCAACCTTTTTTCTTTCTTACCCCAAAGCTAAACATTTTGATAGAATGTACCCACGGACAAATGTCTATTGTCTATCTATATATGTGATGGCATGATTCTACCCATCATTATAACTTTTTAACTTTTTTCATATACCTATAGCTGTTCTTAAATATTGAATAGTATAAATAAAAATAGAATCATTGCAATATACTAATAGAACATAATTATTTTATCATAAATTATCATTATGGTAGTTTTAATTTATATTTAGGTACCTGAGGCTGCCGTGGTCTTCTTGGCGACCGTGACGATGGACGGTGACGTCTCTCGGCGTTTCGACAACGTGAGCTGTGGCTCGGAAACCGCGGTCCACGTCCGGTCGGCGGACGGGGCGGCATCTCCGTTGACCGTGGTTGTTACCGGCGAAGGCACGGCACTTACACCGGTACCACGGTACGTGGCATCGGCTAACGAGTCAAAAACATTTCGGTTGGTGGTCTTATTCTTCTTGTCGTTGTCGTCGTCGTCGTCGTCGCTGAACAACAAGCCCGCCGAACGGGAAGTTCGCTGTTGCGTGCTCTGTCGCCTAAAGTCGTGACGCCTCGATGCATTTTGCCCACCACCGCCGTGTGACGATGGTTCGTACGACGTTATCTCCGCGTTGCTTTTCGGCCGCAGGCCCAGCCAATCGTCTGTCGTCGTTTTCCTTGTGGTGGTCGACGATGCCGGTCTTCGCAACTCATTCCTGCCGAGGACGGACGTATAAGTCAACGCGAATAACAACATTGTTTCCGACAAGTCAAGTAAGTCAACATAATAATAATATGTTATATACATTTTGTTGAATCGCGTTCGTTCTTGGACTTGTGCACTTAGTAGTACCTACCCAGCTATGTCCCTTCTTTTCTAGAATTTGTTTTTACCCGATTGTACCTGTATATTATTAACTGTTTTATACCATTTATTATACTTCTATACTATTATATAAAGAGGAATGTTACCGTTGTCGAAAGTAAGCTCTGGATACACTGAACCGATTACGAAAATTCTTTCACCAATAGAAAGCCACGTTCTTTGCGAGTGTCATAGGCTAATTTAAAAGGGAATTGATTACCCCCTTCAGGTGCTAAAACAAACAGAAATTTTGAGATTTACGATATAAATTTTTGTTTCTTAATGGTTGCTATGGGTTAAGAATAATATTTATTTATTATTATTTTTTTTTTTAATTTGAATATTAATGGAGCGTCTCAATCTCATTCGTTTCAATCAGTCGAAGTTACGATCAGACGAGCACATCCACTTGCTTAACGCCATCGCTACTGAAGGAGACTCGGCCAACATTGGTCGTTGGACTAAATATATTTTATATATATAAAAATGAATGTTTGTGTGTAGATTAGACCTCTGGGTAAAAGACAGGCTAATTTAAAAAGGGTTAAATTTGTTTTTTTTTATTCATCAGATTTTAGTACGGTTGGGTTAGGATTTTGTATTAATTGATTATATTAATCCGCCGTTGGTGGAATTAAGTAAAAACGATAAACTTTTAACTTGGTATAACTTTGGTCTTTGTCCTTTGATACCATAGAGTTAAATCATACACTTCCGTACAAACAGCTCGGGGTCCACGATCTACAGCAGGTAGTTTGCCTACCGGATAATATATTGCTGCGAATCAGAATTTGTATTCCGGGCAACGGAAAAGTTAAGATAAGTTTTGAACACCATACACCGAATATTAAATAACTAATTGAACAAAGTTCGAGTCATAAAGAGTTGGAACATTTAACGGGCAACAAAGTGTACTAGATCAGCTAGTAATCATATATAACTGACCTATATTAATCTAATATATAATAATATATAGTACCTTGTGTTCTATAGTCTAACCTACCAATTTAAGACAATGGTATTTTTAAAAATTAAGCTATTATATTATATCTCATTTATATTTAAATAACTAAATGTTGTTGAGATTTGTGCTTGAGGTTAAGATCAGGGACGCCATTTCAGTTTTGCAAAGGTTGGAGCAAAATTTTTACTGCCCAATGTTCACTTGGTGCTACTTTACAGCAATATAAAAATAATACTACAAACATGTTTGCAAGTAATAACACAAAGAATAACTTTTCAAAATGTTAGCTAAGATACAAAAATGTAACATCACAATATTACACAATTATTCTAATTTATGAACTTTTACCTATGTTGGGCAGTTTTTGTACCTTTAGTTCAGTTAGTAGTTACCTACATAAAAATAAATAATAACAATTTTAATACTCAATAGATTTTTTAGCAAGAATATTTTGTTAGTCATCTTGTAATATTTATAAAATTAATTTTTTTAAAGCGATGCAGTTATACATAAAATAAATAAAAAATGTAATACTTTATTTTTATAGCAATTATAGCTTTACCTTATGTCAAAATAAGAAGATAACGTTAAAAAAAATAATATAAATAGCAATAATAATAATAACTATAATATTATAGTATTTAATACATAATATTAATAGATAATTATAAAATACTAGCTGATCCCGTAAACTTCGTTACCAGTTAAATGTACAATATTCGGTGTATGATGTTCTAGATTTATCGTTTATAATTTATCATTTCTAGATTTATAATATTATTAAATAAAACAGCAAAAATGACTAATAAGTAATAAAGCTCTTCAAGGATATTTACGTGAATCGCGAAAACAAACATATCAATCAGCTAAGTGTCGCTTAAAAAAATATATTTCGCTATAGTGTACTTTATGTTTAGAAAAAACGTCGATTTACGATTATGATATCCATTATTACTAAGTATGCTTGATGATATTATTGTGAATAAAGTAATTTATTTACCTATTTTTTTAACCTTGCTTTAAATTTTCAATCCTTAGCTATAAAAGTTGAACATTTTACCTATACATTTTATCGAAACTTGAACTAAAAAAATAGAAAATTGAAAATGTCCTTTAACAGCTCAAAACAAATCAAAATATTTTGAAAATGTTGTATAGAAATAGCTAATATAAACAATCAGTGAAAATGTCATGTATATACGGTCATTTGTCTTAGTTACACCAAAAACCCAAATCTATAATTTGTCAAAAACCGCTTTTGCTTAAAAAATTCCCTTTTTAACTAAATTTTTTTCTTGTTTTTCCCGGCGCTTTTGAAAACTAATGGGAATTTAAAATTTTAACCTGCTTAAATAAATACACATCATTGTAAAGTCAATACATTCATCACTTCGCTCAGAATCTAAAATTAAATAAAAAATAATAAAGAGCTCAATTAATTTACGATAAAATAAAAAAAAAATTTTTTATAAATTAATTCCGTAGCTGTGGGCCAGAAAGTTCGTCCATGTTCTGTTATTTTGTAACCCTCTGCTATATAGTTTCCCCACTACAAGTCACAAGTAACATAATTATTATACCAACAACGTTAGAGTGTGAGACCCTCCCCTCCATGGCTCTATTACTATGTATTGTCATACATTTTGTCTTGATTTTTTCGTTTGGCTTCATCTTTAGTGATCAAATCGTCTAATACGTCCCAATTGTCGACTGATGACCCTGCAATAAATAAATCACAATATTATCGCTATAGGTACAACAGGAAATGTGTTGTTGAACACTTGAACTGTATACACAAGCCTAAATCGTCCTTTAACAGACTATATTACTATAACATAAATATTATTATAAACGTGTTTGACGAATCTAGTTCGGTTATCAGTTGTAGGTATTATTGGTGTACGTATTTTTAATTTTTGAAAAAAACCAAAAAAAAATATGTATTTTTTGTTTAAAACATCGTTTTCAACGGAAAAAAAGTTTAAGAAAAAAAAAATATTCACTTGGATTTTACACTGTTTTAAAGTTTTAAACATTTGTTTTATTCGTTTTAAACAATTAACAGAAATAGAATGTTTAAAAAAAATGTTTCAAATTTATGTTATAAATATGTTTAAAAGAAGTTTTTTAAAACATTGTGTTTTAAATATAACAGCCCTGCAGTGTTGTAAGTTGTAACACGTAGATATAATTATTAAATTATGTACCTACCTATTTGGATAAAATATAGATTCGGCCTATACAAATAATACTTTACATTCTAGTGATTTTAAACTAACCTGTCATCTTACACCTATTATATTACATGTATATTATTATAGGTATTTTATTACAATATTCGTTTTGAGTTAAAAATAATACTTATATTATACTGATTAACTATAAAGCACTTGATAATTTTTTGCTCTTGTATCTTATAATATGGTCAACTGAGTAATCATGTTCCTGCACGAGTTACATAATATTCAAATGTCTGATGTTTGCGTCCATTGTTTCCAGGACAACGTTTTGTGTGAGGGGTGTAATATTTAGCTTTGACCAGGTACAAGACTAGTAGTACAACGTTTGATATATTATTTTTGGATATTAAGCCGGGACTGGGAGAATTTAACAATATTATTATCATTATTAACCATTCATTTTTTTTTAACCATTTATAAATCAAAATAGGTATGTTTTTACATCTGTTAGAACTTACTGACTTTATACTGAATTGTGTTATACATACATGTTTACTTAAACTATATAGTTAATAGTTTTAATATTAATAAATAATAATGCTTATGTTTATATAGGCATTAGGTATTATACTATTATGCATATTATGTATGATACAACATTATAAAATATAAATTATAATACTTAACAAGAGTAGATAGTTTATAGATTAATGGTCATTTAGATTTAAAACATTAAAGAACAATAACATTTTCAGTCAAAGCGAATTTATTTTAGATTCTGAGTGGACGAGGAATGTATTGATTTTACAATGATGTGTGTTTTTTTTTTAATTTTTAAATTTTTTGTTGTGTCTGTCATCACGTTTTAAGGCAGTAAAAGTGCTTGGATTTTCTTCAACAGTATCTCTTCTGATAGGAAAGTGAATCTAGTTGGTACTTTGGGGTGTCAAAAGTAAAAAGTAGTTTCTAGTAGTTTTCAAAAGCGCAGTGAAAAATAAAATAAAAATTAAGGAAAACCAGGAATTTTTAAACAAAATCTGTTTTTGAGAAAATCGATTTTGGGTTTTGGTGCAACTCTTAAACAAATGACTGTAGGTACATGAAATTTTGACTGAATATTTATATTAGCATTTTCTATACACCATAACATTTCCCAAATATTTTGACTTATTTTGAGCTCTTTACGGACATATTCAGTTTCCATTTTTTTTTAGTTTTTTTCTAAAAATATCAATAAAATTTTATTTGTTGGTTAAAAAAGCTTGGAAATTTAATTTTTTTTATAAGCATTTAAAGTTCAAAAATTGACAAAATATGGAAAAATCACGAAAAATTAGCAAATTATTTTGAGTTAAGAATTCGTAATAATTTTTGTTTTTAAATCTAAGGTTTTAAAATGTAATACAAGATTCCTTATAAGATTATCTACCTTTATCAAAAAAAAAAATGTCCATCTCTTTAATACAAGGCTCCTGATATATTATTGTTACAATATCAGTTGAAAAATATTTAAAATACATGGGCACAATTTTTTTTTATAAGCCATGAAAGATCGAATTTTGACAAAATTTATCAAATTTAAAATTGAATAATTATTTTGTAGTTAAAAATTTATAAAATATTTAAATTTTATATCTAAGGATTCAAAATTTGAAACAAGATTCCACGTAAGTAGTTGTTTCTGTTACTAAAAAATCTAAAAAAATACAGAAGCACAGTTAATTTTTATAGTCATTTTAAGTTCAAATTTGGACGAAATTACATAATAAAAACCTAGAATAACTATATGTTAGTTATTTTGTTGTGAGTGTATAATATTATTCGTGGGTACTTGAAACTTCTAAAGTACACTATTATATATCTATGATAGTATCAGGGTTTGTTGTAATGGATATTGTGATATGATTAATTTTTAATTTATTATAGGTATACCTATTATAGCCTATAGGTCAATTTTTTTTTAATACCATAGATAAGTATATAATATGTCTTATACCTAGACTGACATACCGTGTCCGCTCAGAATCGTTTTTCTTATACAATGATATCGGGTGACCACATACATCGAAGTTGTAAACTAAATTCTTCATTTTCTCCATATTTAGTAGCCAATCCACTAGACTGGATTTTTCGCCAAATATTTTGGCCTAAATGAAAAAAACACCCTTTTTGTTGGCATTCTGGAAATACTTTAAATGCAGCATTAATTGCAGCTTTTTCGAAATCTGTTATAATACATTTTGGTGAAACATCGAAACCGAAACCATCACAAATTGATATTAGGTCTTCGAATAAACGTTCGTAACAACATTGTTGTTTACTGGTCATTAAAACATATACTAATGGCAAAATTCTAGAATTATTTCCACCAACAGGTGCATGTATAGTGTACATTTGTAAAAATATACTTGGCACAGTTTTAAATGTACCATCCATAACCCAATAATTGGCATTGACAAGTTTTGATATTTCATCTTTAGTAGAAAAAATATATATTTTGTGACTCTCAATAGTACTTTCTTTTAGTAAAAATGTTTGACCATTAAAAGACTTACATAAGTTAAGAGGAATATCTATTTGTGAAAGACTTGTTGGTTCTGGTGGTTTCTGATGTTTTCTACACCGTGAAATAATTTTTCGCGTTGCTTCAACTGATGGCATGTATGGCTGAGAATTGACGGGGATGCGACTCGTTGCTTCCTGTATTATTTGCGAAGGTTTATCTCTCGAAGACAGTGCTTTTGAAACAATATATTTTATGTTTTTCTTTACCAACAATCGGCATGGGTCAGGCCATGGGTTGTGATTTAAAAAAGAATTATCTTTAACAATATGATTACCATCAACAAGAATTGTTACTGCTCTTGCATTACAATATTCATTATTACTATTATGCCGTTTAGTATGTTTCCTCTTTTCACATTCCCAATAATATTTATTGTTACGGTTTTTGTTTTTAATCATGATAAAATTGTCAATTAATAATTTTGTACCAAAAATTTCAATTTTATATTCCATAATTATTTAATGCAAATACATAAATTAAATTAAACAACGACACAAAAATGAATGCAAAGACGCGGCGTGGTTACGAATCAACTGAAACAGTATTTATGAACATGCAATAGCAATACCCACTGTAGATTACAGGCTATAGGTATTAGGTATCGTTAAATTTCGATAAGTTATCGATAACATTATTACAACAAAAGACAACACTACGTTATCGAATTGAAAATGTATAGCTTATACTTAATTTATTTTAGTGTCGGCTTTTCGTAGTGTCGGCCTTTTGACCTTGTCGGCTAAAATAGTTTCAGCTATCTGACTGTCGGCCTATATAGCCGTCGGCCGTTTGGATTCGGCCGGATGTCGGTATACGAATGATATCATATCATTGAATTCAAATTTAATACCATCCATTATACAGTGACCCACTTGTAACCTACTGTACAGCAGAGTACTTTTTTTTTACATTTTTTTGGGCTTATTTATCGTTAAATTTCCTAAAAATGGTGTGCGAGGTAAAAAATAAAAATGATGAACACATGTATGGCGTATCATTTGATTATATGATCGAGTATTATAGGCACAAGTGCCGAATCTAAGCTCAACCATGTATTAAAATGCCATGGTTTTTGATAGACAAAATTTTTATTTAATACTAGTTGATCCCATGCAATTTGTTGCCCGTAAAAAATGGCCACTCTTAAAAAATTATGATTGTTCAACTCCTATTAGGTGTAACTCTCTGCAGTAAGTAAAATTTAGCCATCCTGGTCAGATTTTCTCTCAAGTCAGAGATAGTACCTATGCGTTGCAATCGCGGACCAGAGAATAGAGACAGACGCTCGAGAGCACGGGCAAGGGAATGTAGCACCAAACGCTCGCAGCGGCTTATGCTGCCCTCCTAAGCCAAAATGCAGTAAGCAACAATGTAGTAGTTTTGAGAAAAATAACTTTTTCTGAATCACCTTGTTATGTCTATCATATTATCAAAATAAAATAATAAATTAATGATTCTTGAATAACTTTTCCTGTAGAATCCAATAACGTATTATACTATTTTTTATGTAATATAGTTATATATTTTTTTAAAGTTTTTATACATTAAGTCGATAATTATTCTGTGCAATGTACCAATAAACCACAGTAATTAAAACTATATGTTTATTAAAAATTACAATATACATAATATTTTTATTGTGTTATCATTAGGAAAGATATGTATATACAATATACCAGTGTTCGGAACTTTCATTAAAAAAAATTAACTCGTTCTCAGTCCTTAAAAAAGGAACTCGGTCACGTTTAGGTTTGTGTTTTTTTCAAACGAACGCGTTCACGTTCACGTTCTTTTAAAAAACCGGCCAAGTGCGAATCCGACTCGAGCACGAAGGGCTCCGTACCATCATCAGCTATGTTGGCAACACTGCTTATATTATATATTCTAGGTTTTTAGTATTAAGGAGAAGTAATTCTAACGCAGTTCCTCTTCCGTCCCTCGATTAACTCGAAAAAAAAAGAATAAAAAAAAAGTATTTTTAGTATTTTTAGCATCCACGGAAATACATAATCTGTGAAAATTTTAACTTTTTAACTTTCATGGTTCATGAGATCAGCCTGGTGACAGACGGACGGACGAACAGCGGAGCCTTAGCTTCCGGTTTACTGTACGGAACCCTAAAAACGAACGCGTTCATTGGGAATAAACTTTTTTGATTTAAAATCTTATGTGCCTAAAATAAATGTAATGCAATTAGGTATTTCATGGGATTTAAACAAAGAAATCTTAATTTTAAGGTCCTTAAAAATACTACTTAATACTACTTTCGTATATCTACAACGCAATGTTACGTTTATCTTACTTCCCCCTAACCTGGAAATTTTCCGAAATTATACTAATTCCAAAACCCAACAAGCCTCCAGATAAAGTTACATCATATCGACCCATAAGCCTATTACCAACTCTATCAAAAGTATTCGAAAAGATCTTACTAAAAAGACTCATTCCTCTTGCTATCTTAGCTAACATTATCCCAGATACACAATTCGGTTTCAGACCGAACCACTCAACGATCCATCAACTTCACAGAGTAGTCGACACTATATCTTCGTCACTAGAAAAAAAACATTACTGTGCTGCCGTCTTCCTGGACGTAGCACAAGTGTTCGATAGAGTCTGGTTCGAAGGCTTACTGTTCAAACTAAAAAAATTTCTGCCTGCGCCTTATTACTTACTTATAAAATCGTACCTTAGTGACCGTACTTTCATCGTACGACAGAATTCATGTTACTCAAACTACTTTGACATTCTCGCCGGAGTTCCCCAAGGTAGCGATATTGCCCCCTTTCTATATAATATATTCACTCATGACATTCCCAAAACCTCCTACACTGAACTCGGTTCCTACGCGGACGACACGGCAATTTTAGCAACGAATGAAAATCTCATTATAGCCTCAAATATGTTACAAAGACACCTCAATATTATACACCTCTGGACAAAGAGGTGGAAAATCAAAATCAACGAAACCAAGTCCTCCTTCATAACATTTACCTTAAATAAAAAAACTTGTCCTCAAATTACAATGAACAACATTCCAATCCCTATTTACACACAAATAAAATACCTCGGTCTTACCCTTGACAGTAAACTAACCTGGAATCCTCACATAGTTGATAAACGAAAAGCCCTTAATTCCCGTCTACACCTCCTAAGACCATTATTATGATCTAAAATGAACATTGACACCAAATTACTAATTTACAAGTCCCTACTCAGGCCGCTATGGACATACGGCATTCAATTATGGGGAGCCGCTAAACCCTCCAACACCAGATCAATACAAGCCTTCCAGTCCATCTGTCTCCGTCTAGTTTCCTCTGCTCCTTGGTACATAACAAATTCCAACCTCCACAAAGACTTAAAAATACAAACCCTAAATCAAATCTCTAAAACATACTACATTAAATTTCATTATAAACTCCAATCACACACTAATCCATAATCAAAAAATTATCATCTAAAACTCTACCCGACAACCCTCGACGTAGACTAAAAAGAAAATGGTGTAGGGATCTCTTACATTAATAATTAATAATCATTAGTCAATAGGTAACGCACGTGCTGGGTGTTATCAATGGATAATTTTCGCCGTTAATTTTATATTCTTTCCTTTATCAAATCTAATTATTGTACAAATAACTGTATAGATTGTAGATATATTTTAAATAAAAAAAAAAAAAGATTTAAAATCTTATGTGCCTAAAATAAATGTAATGCAATTAGGTATTTCATGGGATTTAAACAAAGAAATCTTAATTTTAAGGTCCTTAAAAATTGAAAATCTTCAAATCAACTTCCTGAAAAGCATAGAAAGTTGTATAAAAAATTGTAACCGGACATTCCGAAGTCCGTATAATAATTTACCATCGCTTATCTGTCTAAAATGTATGTAAATTGTGATTCCCCTAAATAATAGCCACAATAACCGCCTAATTTAATATTACAATTTACAATAAACCAAGATTGTAAAACGCGAACGATCCGAATATAAGTACCAGGAACGTATGCTGTCGAGTTGTTGAACGAGTATAATAATAATTTTTTGTACAGCTATGCCGCCGCCGACATCATCGAAAAAAACGGTGAAATGTTATAGACCATGCGACCCTGGTACCACCGAGTCGAAATTTTGACACTGTTTTGACACTAACCCAACTGTTTTGTCCATTCGTTTTTTTTTTTTTACAAAAATATGATGTAAAAACACGGTTTCGTACTTCAAGTAAGTAACACGGCTCATTCAAGTGGCTTACAGTAAAAATAAATATTATACAAATTGTAGAGTAGGACTTCGTCTATAATCGTAAGAATCCGATTTTCATTAAATCAATAATTAAATAATTAATTGAAAAAATGTAAAAAAAACTTGTGATATTATTGTACGTTATTACCATGTTGTGATATTTTACGATTGAAATACGATAACAAAAATCGGATTTCTCACTATTTAAAAATTCTCCTCTTAAATTTTTAAGATAGGTATTTATCAGTAGCGGCTCGTGAGTAAATATTCTGGGGAGACTTAAATTATATAACATAAATTCCATATTCCTTTTCCCCTCTAAATATTACGCAAGTAAAACAAAACACTTTATTCCGTTTATCACAACCAGTAAGCCATGGGAATTTATTATACTAATTCTTTTGAAAAGTTCTAATATATTTACCGTCTTGAATGTTAATAATAAATGAGGAGTTGGGCGATTAAGTTTTATTTGATTTTTTTGTTCATATGTTAAGGCATTAAAACCACTGGTTAGTAAAAATTCTATTATATTTTCTTTTTGCATTTTAAAATACGAAAAACTTTTGTAATGCTTATAAAAATATAAAATATAATAATAAATGTTAGATTGTTAGATGGATAATATACGTATAATAATTATTAAATAATTAATAAACAGTGAATAAAACGTCTAAAGCTAGTTAAATACGGGTATACACGGCGCAGCGGCACGGCAATAACTGTCGTGAACCCAGGTTCAAAAGCGTCTATGACACGCAGCCTATTCTCCCCGGCTCCCTCCGACCAACCAGCCATGCTATTAGCCATTACATGTTACGTTTGCAACTGACGGGCTTCAGTTTCACTGAACCGGCGACCGTCGTAATGAGCCGTAATGACCCGCAGAAATGACTATAAAATAGTATTTCTATCGAGTATCGAGATAGCTATTAATAGGTTTTCGATTTTGTGACTTTCAATTTAATATAATAATAAACAATGAAAACTATATTTTAAATACAAATGAAAATATTTCTATACATTATTATTTTTAATTAATTATATTATTTACAAGTAGCTAGTTTATTTTTAAGGGGAGACGCAGTCTCAAAGTCTCCCCTGACGAGCCGCCCCTGGTATTTATACTGTAAAACCCTTCAATAAACTGTTTTTTAAATTTTGATTTAAGTATGAAACCATGTTTATGGAAAATAAATGTTACGTCCAACAATTAATAGTTGCGACCAATAGCTTATAAATACCCAGATAAGTCATGGTTTAAATGCAACAAACCAATTTTCATTTTTTATTAACTGTAATCCGGTGTGTTATATTCTGAAAATATCTGGCCTATCCTCCTATAAATATAGGTATTAAAATCGAATCTAAGTTTAATGATGTAAATTTATAGATAGATAAAAATAATTTTAATTTATCTTTTGGCTTTTGTAATAATTGGTGAACACATGGAGTAGGTAATCATATACTTAATAGAATAATTTTCTGCATTTCAGGCGGGTTTACTAACCGTCTGTCTACAAATACAATGTTACTTGATGACTTTAAGGGATGAAATTGTAAATTGTTGCAAAAGTGGAGTAATAATAACTAGAGCAAAATATGGATCTTCCTTAGACTCAAATTTTTAAATAATATTTATTATAACTATAATATAGGAGCTGTCTTTTGACAAAGTGCTGTAGGCTATTTACCGTAGTAAAACACTTTTTAATGTTTTTATATACCTAGATAGTTAACAGAATAGTTTGCAGGCGACAATGCAAAATTTACGTTAACACGGGGAAGTTGGTGGTTGATGCGCGGCACTGACGAAAACCGGTCGGCCGACTGATTATTCTCTTTTGGGACAGAGTATAAATTACTTATTTGGCTATCAAAAAAAACATTTCATTGCACTATATTATTATTTGAGCACCTCCAATTTATATATTATATGTAAAAATGAATATAATGTATTAGTAAGTTGTTATCCTGATAAAATTATAGCTAGATCGATTAATGGATACTATGACTTGAGACTTGAGTAGGTACAGTATACATAGATATTGGATATGGTATACATGCGATATAGTAACATTACAAATTAGTAGTTCACTACTAGCATTGAGTAGTAACTATAAACTTACTATTAACAATTTAATAGTTTACTACTAGGAATAAATACTGAATTAATAGTTATGAATAGTTTACTAACTACTAATAGTAATGAATAGTAAACTACTGGTGATGAGTATTTTACTACTAGCTGACTAAAATTAAGTAGTTACCTAACCTAACCTAACCTAACCTAACTGCAATAGTTATGTTTCCAAAGGGAAGTTAACCTAATAATAAAGATAATGTTCTTTCCATCAAGTTTCATAATAGGTCGATTCACTATAATTTTTAAACTAACGGCTCTAAAAAATATAATCTTCTAAGAGTAAATGTTATGCACTTGTAAGTCGGAGACAACAAATATTTGTTGTTATTATTATTATTATCTGAGTGATAAGTACTTGGATACTGTGGTAAATCTACAATAAATGGTCTACTCTCGGCATACTATTGTAGCACCATTAATTGTTATAAAATCGCATTAAGTACTAAACAATGTTGGCACAGCATTCATTGTATGACCCTAACATTTGAAGTCAAACACATATTATCTTTACATATCACATCACATAACATTTTTGTAAAACAGTAGGATTTTTGTTCAACAAAATATGTTCTGTCTGACAATTGTCCATCTATTGTTTGTACCTTTAAATTAGTACCACAAACATTATTATACACACAGTACCTACCTACTTCTGAAATTTATACAATAAACTCACCTCAATGGTTCGGTATTAAACCTGAAGTTACTCAAGTTTTGGATTTTTGGTTTTTTAACCCGACCGTTTAAACATGACGTTTATCATGATTTAAGATAATTTATATTATAATATCTTAAATTGTGATGTCTATGTTATAGCTTTGTTCGTTTTAAAAACTTGGTGTTAACACTATAGTGTACTGTGTACAAGTGTTTCAACATATTTTTTCAACTGCGAATGTTAGACTTGTCATCGAGTGACGAGTGATGTACTCACCGATTGATAAAGAATTTTCAAGATATTGTTGTTTTTATTTTATTAACATGGTCTTTTCTTATCACAAAAATGTACTTGAGTCCCACCGAATAATCTATGGTTAGCCCCTTTATTCACTAATCCGAGCATGGACTTAGTCAGTAATTCAGAGCTACTATAGAGAGCTCTTACATATTTTGCTTTCTATCGCCGATTGTTTTTAAAATATTCATATAATGTACACTATTCGTTATCAAGTTTAATAAATACAACAAGCAAAATGACTTTATACCTTTTAAATTCAAACCATTTATATTCAACCTACTATATTCTACTATAATCTACTATAGTCTTCTCAATAAATTAGTTTGCAATTAATAATTTCCTTAGTACAATTTTGGCTTAATTATATTGTAATAAAATACATACTTATTAGGTACATACATTTAATACATTTCTAAAAATTAAAAATCAAGAAAGTTTACATGCCGATCTCGAACTTGGCAATCGTGTTTTTATATGCATTTAAAGTTAAAATGTTGACAAAATTCATCAAAATCTCGACAATTTTCAAACTATTTTTCAGTTATAAATTTTTAAGTTTTTCTTACCATGTTTGGTAACATTAGAAATTTTAATATAAGATTTCCATTCAGTTTGCTACCTTAAACAAAAATAAAAGTTCACAGGAAACTAATATTACATTTTTATGAGCGTTTGAATTAAAAATGTTAATGATTTATCGATTTTTGATATATTATTTTAATAATATAAAAACGAATAACCACACGCAATTTTCACCAATTATTAAAATGACCATTTTTCATACATGATACAATTTTCAAACAATTTTTGATCTATCTA